TAAATACAGAAAATGTGCTTTCCAGCAGGAATAAAACCTGGGTTCCAGTTTGTAAGAGATTTCTCGAATACGCAAGCCAATAGACGTAATACACACTGTTTAAAGTAAAAAAAAAAAAAATATGCATACGACGTCTGTTTCAAATACGAATATCCATTATAATGACATTTGAAGTAATGAAAATATCTGATTAATAATAAATCCATCAATTCTTTATAGTCATCCACAGACAGCCTGCTTCGCTGTGCACAGGTCATCATTGTGGCTAGACATCCGATTGCTTCAAGCCTGGATTTAACATCAGTCAGAGACTTTTATCCCTAGGCCATCGGTGCACGGCAATTTAGCGCATTATATGCGTATTATATAAACGACATACTAGCCGCCATACCGCTCGATTCTTACGAAGAGCGATGAATTAAAGCAGCAGCAGCCGTTAAAAATTCCCTTTTCTCCATAGTGCTCAATCGGCGAACGAGAGCAAATATAATTGTTTCTTATTTGTTCTTTACCTTATTATATATTTTATCTATTTTTATTACCTTTATCGGCCTGCGTATTCGAGAAATTTTAATAAATATTGAAAAAAGTGCTTTCAATAGGAATAGAACCTGCGTTCCATTTTGTAAGAGATTTCTCGAATACGCAGGCCAATAGACGTAATACACACTGTTTAAAGTAATATATATATATATATATATATATATATATATATATATATATATATATATATATATATATATATATCAACTTTATCTTCTTTTGTGTGAAGAAAAACAGAATTGGTCATTTAATCTACTGAAAAAATGTTTCCTATTTTTTATGCAATTAAAAAGCAATATTTCATTTAGAATTGCTGGAACCTGGACCATGTGATAATATATTAGCTTGGTTTTTTTTTAATCATTTCGCACCAAGCAAAGTGGGAATGCCACTAATACGCAGGAGGGTACAGAGAATGTGAGAGAAAAAAATTGTGTATAGAGGTGATTGAGGAAAGAACAAAAGTTGAACGGGATGCAAGACGATAGAAGATGGCGAATGACGTTGCATTTAATTTTTTGAAGATTGTAGTTATTAAGGAAGCAAGTAAACGGAAGAGAGTTCCACGGGCGAGAAGTGCGAGAAAGGAAACTGTTTGAGTTGACGTAGGGGCTGCATTTAACTATTTCATTATTAAAAGGATTGGGCCTAGATGCCAATGTAGCACGCTTAAATTCACGTAGTCGGGGCACTAAGGGAAAAAAAGCTCGTCAGAGCAGTTGCCATGGAAATATTTGTAGAAAAGACAAAATAAACCACTTGATGTCGAGGAAAAAGTAACTGAAGTCGAGATGCCAACTTAGGGTCGATTACATAAAGACAATGGTCTTTTTATAAGCAAGGAATTCTCCCAGTCATATTGCACCACAAAATCCCATCCTCCTGTTGCAAATACGACACACCAAGGAATCATGGGAAAAAGATGAAGGCCTCAGTTTAAATTGAGGCTAGGAAGATATGGTGTAAATGGTAAAAAATACCAAGAAATATGAACCGATCCAGTGGAAATTGAACAACCCTGTTATTAATGTGTTAAGTGTAAGTGCTTTTAATTGCTCAGCATAAAATATATATTGAATTTTTTTATCATGGTTTTTTAGGGGGAGGGGGGGCTTATTGCCTTAAGAGTTTTAAATATCATCTTTTGTGCTTCTTAATATCAAATCCACTTTTTGGCCAGCCGTCAGAACAGAGTAAAGCATGTTAAAAATGCATCTGTTTGTGTCTGTGTGTTGGCTCGATGCATGCAACTTTTTTCTTAAACCAATTCCTGTTATGAGCGGCTACAAGAAATTACAATTAAAAACCTTAAACATCTTCAATGTCGCTGATATGCCACATACCATTAAAGGTTAAACTCTTAAAATTCATGAGATAAGAAGTAATTAATGAAACTGAAGAGTCGTTATAATATTTGGAAGTGCAAAGAATGGACTTGGTGACTAGAATTCTAATTCTAGATTAAATAATTTTATGTTTATTTTGCAATAATACACGTCCGCATGAAAGCTATGGATCCAATTCTCAGGATAGCTTTTTTTAATCATTTCAACCAAGCAAGACAATAAGACGCAAAGCGGGGTGGAGGTACTGAAAAAGAAACAAACGGAAAATGGACTATCAGGATATAGTTAGTGAATAAAGGTTTATCTCCCATTTTCGTTCCCCCCATCATGGCCATTATTATACCCGTGATATAATAACACCGTACTTCAAGGTCAGAATGGAATATATTTAATGGAAAAGGAATGACAAACATGCTTTGTTCTCAGAATATATCCTCAACTGGTACAATGAATCCGGTGCGCTTAAATCTGGAGTAGTAAACATGGCTTCTCCAGAAATACAGAAGAATCTCCATATTATATCTAAGACCCTATTTTTCGTTATCCTGGCCGTGTCGATATATGTATATATTTCTCTGTGGGACACGTATATATATATGCATATATATAATTTTTTGTACGATCTAGCATTATAAAACGCTCTCTGAAAACAAATCCTGTTTTTCATTCCTTTCCCATTCACCTGTTCCGTTCTGTCCGTGAAGTATGGTGTTATTATATCACAGATATAATAATGCACATAATGGGGGAAACGTAAAAGGGAGGATAAACCTTTCTTCCATAGCTTTCTCCTAATATATTGGTGACTACGACGCGATCCTATTTACCTGACGTGGTATATTATTTAATCAGAGTTATAACTCCCCTACAAGACAATAAAAGAGCGGGGTTCAAGAAAAGAAAAGATGACGATTGACATATTTAAATTGTTAAATATTGTAGTTGACAGTAAAGCAGGAAGAAAAAAGAGGATTTCACAAGCGTGACCTGCGGGAAAAGAAACTATTAGCATAGAACTTGCAGTTGCATCTACTTCAACAGTGAATTTTGAGACCTAGCTGTCAATCGATCTAGTATTGGGCTTCGCGAAGCTGAGATACCAGAGAGGAAAGGTCATCAGAACCATTACCATGAAAATATTTAGAGAAAGTTTATAGGCAAGCTATGTTACGGCAATGGAAAAGTGACTGTATCTGAGATGCCAGGTTTGGACCGATAATGTTACAGATTCTTATTTGTATTTTGTTAAGAATCTGTAGATATAAAACATAAGCAGCAAATTGATAATAAATCCTTTATAAGTACGCAACATAGATTCCGGCAAGAAAGAATTGTCAAGTACGACGTAGTTAACAAACTTTCCTGGTGTCTGTTCTAGCAAAATTCCACTTCATGTCAGACTGATGGCTTCGATAGACCCTGAAGTAGATTTTAATGTTATTAGACTAACACTTATATCCCTTTTTTTTAACAAACTGATGACTAATGAATGAAATATGCATTATAAGACTGCACTATGGTTACAAATAAAAAAAAGGATGTTAAAATAAAAAAGAAGACGTATAAGTATGTCTAAATCACCAGCCGAATATTGTCAGTTTTTTGGGGTTTTTCTGTAAATATTTTTGCCAATTACACATACCTGTTATACACATGTGCTTTTTTATATGACAGGAAATATAATATGTTATAATATAATGTAATTATTGCTATTTTGTAAGCAGGGTACCACAAAATAGATTCCTGATTCTATATTTTTTTATCTGATCCTCACATAAAATGCATATTTTTTAAGATATGTTATCTTTCTGTAAAAATTTTTGTTTCCATTTTAAATACCTAATTTTCGCTTTCGCTTTTACTTATTTTCTGCAATGAAACCTAGTGTGTTATATACCGTACCTAATATGTATGTCCCAATCCTAATAAATACATTGGACACAATTGTAAATGGGGGTAATATGATGTCTAAGTAGTCCACTACTAGCAGTGGTTTACCTACTTCACGCCGCTGGCGAGTATTGTATTTTGTTGATGTTATAAATATTATCATTTCATTTCCAACCTCTGTTTTGGTTTTGCTCATTCATTTACCCTTTAAGCATACTGATTTGTTTATAAAATATATAAAATGTTTTAACGTTATGTGGAAAAGTAAACGGAAAATGAAGTGATTTATTTTGGAAATTAATGGCATTCATTGTTTTATACAAATGATACAGCTCAACTCAATAACAGTACGATAGATTCAAGTCAAGTAAGTATAGCGTTGTAGCTCAGACCAGACACCAGGTTCGTTCTCAGGGTGCAGCTTGTTCCAGTCAAGTGTTTACGACTTAAATATAATCAATTGGCCAGATCATCACCGATGTGTTTTCGCTGATAGTCAACATTATCTCATAGTGAACATTGTTATTTGTCTAAAAAAAGTAATTTATCTTAATTCAGTGATCTTCTTTGTCTTCTTTGTTTGTAAGGACCACTTAGTTGATAATCATCAGCATATTAGTATGCTGGTATCTGCCACACAGAGTTTACCGACTATTTTGTGTTAGGAAGAATAACGTGTTTTAGCCTTCCAGTAGCACACTGATACTAATATTAGCATTAGTGTAGCTATTGATATACTAACACTGAATACGAATATAGAAAGACGAAATACGCATGTCCCAAAACAAATGATTGTCCATATTGTCCCAAAGGAACGAGGAGGTTTACAGAACGAGAAAAAAATAACATACCAGCTATATGGCCTTTGATAGTCATCAGGTAAGTGAATGGAAGTTACTTTTTTCTTTCGCTAGGCCGTGCACATGTTGACCAGTGTCAACGTGTGTGGATGCCCTGGTGGTCAGGAAGGTAAAGAGGCAGTTCCTCCAAAAACGGAAGCAAAGACAAAAAAAAAACAAAAAAAAACTCTACTCTAAAGGGGCCCAAACTCCCATGAGCTTAACCCAAGGGAAGACAACTGTGGTCTACCTACAAGGGCAAATAAAAGTCTGAAATTATTTTGTGCAGCTCAGATTTTTTCCATTTAACAAGATATCGGCTGACACTGACGTCGCTACAAGAGCATATTTAATTTTTCTTTCTCAATTTCAGTAAAAAGTGATGAGGCTGAACCTCTCTCACTCCCTTATAAGTTTGGAACTTTTACGTGAAGGTTTAATGTATAACATCTTTGATATCTGCAACGTATAGCACAGATATTGTAGACACACATCGACGGTCTTCTTTCTTATCAAGCCCTCCAATAAAACAAAGGTTTACAAAAGATCTAAACACCACAGGAGACTGAAATCCAGACACCCTTCGTTTAAAATAACTGGGTCTACAATATACGGATATGAAAACGGTTGGCAGCTCAGAAAGTAAACGGGTCGGAATAGGGATGGACACCTTCAGGTTACCCTGCCTTAGATATACCAATACTGCTATGCTTGCAGTGCGTAGGGCCCTTACGACCAGTGGTGGCGTCCTCGCTAACTGATTCTTAAAATTATAAAAGAACCGGTTCTTGGATTATGAGAAAATAATCTGATATATTAATAAGCTGATATATAATAGCTAAAAATATAATTAATACCACTGCTGTAATTTCGGCAGAGTCTGGAAAGTGTTTTCTGTGATGAACATGATTTACTCTGACAAAGGAAGTCGTATTGAAGAGAAAAATGTGGCAAATCTTCTAGTCGTGAATTCGATAGATCTTCCATTTGATTTTTGGGATTGCAGCGATTAACTTCGATTTTGACTAGGAAACTATAACACAGCTGATGACATTTGAGTTTAAAAGCATCATAATACTAAACAGGAATATGTTGAGAACAGAATTTCAATCTGGAAATATGTTAATAAATTAATGTTTTCTATTAAATTATCAAAAAGTTTTAATTCTTTTTGATACTATAAAGTGATTTGTTTCCCTTCTCAGATTGAAGAGAAAATAAGCAGAATAGGTTGTTAAGCATTACCTGTCTTTATAGAACCGCTTCCTGGAAATTTGAGATCCCATTATTGCTTACAATGCTAAAGGGTTACGGGACTCTTGATATGATGAGCTTACAATATATTCCGCTTTAAGGGATTTGTCGAGGTAGAGATTGATGAATTTGTTTTAATATGGCTTATCGAACCTTTGTTTATTATTTATTTTGGAGATAATTTTTTTGTTTTGTTTTATGAGTGAATATTGAACTAACAATTTTTTAGAATAACAATACCGTTTCCAGATACAGGTCCTACTATTTAACCCATTGCTGGGGTGTGGAGATGGATTCATGCAAGTGTATTTGCGCATAAGTGAATATCATAAACTCGACTGGAATTCGAACTCGACTCTCCAAATTCTCATTCCAAACACTATGTATTACTCCATCTGCACATCCGTCCAGTTACATAATCTGTCAGTATTCTAGTTTTTTACAAAAAATTACACCTATTATACAAATTGAAAACTGCCCAGAATTTAAGATTTATCAATCTGGAGACACTGACTGGCTGGAGTCAGCTTCTCGACAAAATGCGCAGAACGTTCCATCCAGTCTTGATTGGCTGAGATCTGTTCTTTTCCAAAGAAGCACCATTTTCTAAAAATCGATACTCCGCAACATAACTTTCTTCGCGTAGAAACAGTATGCTAGAAATCAGTAAAAACAGAAAGCAAGACTCTTTTGGTCATTCACTGATTCACGCCCGTTAATAGGAACTGATGTCTGTACGGTGAATTTAAAAGACAGAATTTATTCATCAGGCTGATCAACAAGAAAATACTGATTTATTTAAACAAAATATGTTTTTATTATATGTTTTTTCTACTCGTACCCTCATCCTTTATCTTGGTTGTTATAATCGCAAAGTTTCGACCGTTGTCTACTTCGGTCTTCTTCAGATAACTACCTTCGACCTGTATGCCTTTTTAGAATTTCTTTCCACAGGAATTCATTGTTCTGATTCCATTTTCCATGCTCCATATGTCAGTTAATAATCAGCAGTCTTATTCACCTTTGTGTCGTTTGCGTAAATTATATTTAAGTCAAATTATTTCATAAAACTATCTACACGAAATATTTTAACAGGATACTTCAAGAAAATATCTTTGGACAGATTAAAACATTAATCAAAATATTTAAACAAAATATTTTATAGAAATATTGAAAGGAAAATTGGAATAAAATATTTTATAGAATCATACTTATTATAAAACCCAGGTTGTGTGTGTGTGTGTGTGTGTGTGTGTGTGTGTGTGTGTGTCTGTTCGTTTATATATTGGATCGGATTTCCTACATTTTTCAACCGATTTCAACAAAACTTCACAGGACTACGTAGAATTACCTTGCGGTGGTTCTGACGGCGTCGAAAATTGGAAAAACACAATTGTTTTTGCACGAAACCAATTTGACAACACGATTAAGAGGCATCACTATCGCGAGAATGAAAGGGAACAACTCATATCGAGTTATACTTATTATAAAACCCAGGTTGTGTGTGTGTGTGTGTGTGTGTGTGTGTGTGTGTGTGTGTGTGTGTGTGTTTATATATGGGATCGGATTTCCTACATTTTTCAACTGATTTCAACAAAACTTCACTTTTTTTGACAGGTAGTGATTCTTATTGTCTTGCACACTTTTTTCTTTATTTTTACATTCAGAATGCTTTAAAAATTCCATTAACAAGACAATTGTTTATAATAAAATTCTATTCAATCGGTAGACTCATAACGAGTGAAAACAATGTTTTTGTTTGAGTTTGACCAATTCGTAAAAAAAAAAAAAAAAAAAAAAACTAATTAAGACATGCGTGTCCGTCAACCTTAAACAATAATCTGTCAATTTTATTTTTCAGTCTTTATGATGGTCGATACTTGATCTATCTCTTACTGTTACATCCCCGGGCAACGCCGGGCTCTACTGCTAGTATTTGATAAGAATATTTAGACATATATATTGGAATAAAATATTCATACAAAATACGAGATAAACATATTCAAAGAAAATATTTGATGAACATGCTTCATCGTGATACCTGATCGAAATATTTTACACAATATAAAAGAATTAATTATTTAATCGAAATATTTGAGTAAAATATTTTATATAAATACTTAAACAAGATATTTGATCGGTATATTTTAATAAAATATATTTACGCTAGATAAAACTATTAATTATTTAAACAAAATATTTAGACAAAATATTTAGACAAAATATTAGATAAAAATTTAAAGAGAATCAAAATATTTTATTAAAGTAAGCTTACGTCAGATAAAAACATTATTTAATCAAAAAGATTTGAATGAAATATTTGTTAAAAATATTTTAACAAAATATTGGAATAAAAATTAATGAAGCTATTCAAACAAAATATTTTACGTCAAATGAAAACATTAATTATTTAAATAAGATATTTTTTGAAAAGGATTTCAAACAAAATATTGGACAAAATTATTTAAACACAGTATTTTACATCAAGTTAACTATTTAAAATATAAATGCTTATTAAATTACGATATTGATATACATATATTTGATATTGATATAGAATACACGATGTCGATATAGATATATTTACATTAAAGAAAATATTAACTATTTAAAATATTCTCCCTTTCAACTAGTATACATTCATTCCAACTTGGTACCAAGCAGTCAGTTGTCTTCCAAAAAAATATTTCTTCCAAAGAACCAATACAATCATTCAAAGATTCTTCGGTTCAATCTTATAAAGAAATGGTTTAAAGGATTGAAAAGAGATAGTCTACAAGAAAAAAGAATGTCTGACTCGGTAGAGTGAAATAAAGTTGCCATCTTCGTCTCATTCAACTTGCTATGTCACTTTTGTAAGATTAACATTGCTGCTATCATGCAGAGAAATAACGCCTTTATATTCACCAAAGTAGGTTTGATAATTTAATGCTAAATTTCAATTTGATCTGCGTATCTTTTCTTAAAATACTATATCACTTCGGGCGATCATGACTCTCCACATATCTCTTCTATTTATCATCTGTAAATAACTATACACTTTGGAGAATGATATTGAAGTAGTTTCCTGTTATGTTATCCAGGTTTTGGGATTCAGAGTTGTCCTTCTCTCGGGTTGGTTGCCATTCAAGTCTAGAAAGCCCTGTCTACCCTTCTATTTCATCCATAGCCGTTATGAGAAGTGACGGATTTTTCCTCCTCTTAAAGTGGCTGCCTCTCAAGGCTGGAAATCCCAGTCTACGCCACTATTTCATTCCTTACTGGTGTATGGGGAGAAATTGATTTTCTTACTCTAAGACTGGTTGCCACCCATGGCTAGAATGACTAATCTAACCTGCTGTTCAGTCCATAGCCGGGTGAGGGATAAGAGACGGATTCATCCCTTTCCAAAGAATATATGTGCGAAAGTGAACGCAAAAGACCAACCCGTAGTTCGCCGATTTCACTCTCTGTGCTATTGTATCCATTATACCATCCACATATCCCCGTATATCTAGGCGCGTTAATTATTGGCTCATTTCAATGGAAGGAGAACGGTAGAAAATTGCAATGATACTTTACTTTTATCACGAGAATCCAGTTTTATTTGCAAGTCAATAAGCAAACTCCATTTGTCATTACAATTAATGATAGGCTATAAAGAAGAAGAAAAAAAAATTTCACACTATTGAATAATGCAAGTCTCCATGATTATTTGTTTTTTTTTATTTGATACAAACAAAATCCGTTCATCGAACCGTCCGATATCAGTCGATGTTAAATGATTTGTGTGCCATGAGTTCTACGAAAGAGTTTCTTTGATATACTCTGACGTGCCAAAAGTTATTAGATGTCAGTATACAAAGACAATTGCAGAGTTTTCACCTCAGACACAACGTAGCAATCCTATCTCTCCTCAGTCGCTATTTCCATGCTATGACTGCTTCTCTCAAGTAGGGGCTAATAATATTATTTGTATCACTACTACTCTGTCGCTATTTCCATGGCAACTATTCAGTTGAGTTCCATTCTTTAGTTTCACCATTTTATAACTTTATAGCTACGAGATGCCATGCTACTTCCATAGAGTTTAATAATCAGTATTTCCCCCGTATACCAAATGTAGCGAGAAAGTTTCAACCAAACAACGCCTTCCAGAAAATTCCTACACCTGCATGGATACTTCCCTGAAAAATATAATTTTAACTTCGTCAAATGTCAATCGTTATCTTACCCACCTCATCTGTATAATCCTCACTTCCTACCACCATCCATCGCATTCATTTTAACATTAGACCTTTACCTTGAGTGGCTCACGAGCCTTATACTGGGTGAATTTAGTATAAAAAGGTGGCATCATTGTACCTTGACGTTACGGAAATGTCCAGATCTATATCAGTTGTTTTCTGACACATGGTGAGTCAAAATGAACACCGGCTCGTCTGCTCATGGCAGAGCGAAGTGAATTAGGATATGTTGGTTTGGTGCCAAACAATTGTGAATTCTGTCTTTGAAGTTATGTGGATTTTTTACATGCCTTGATCTATGGTCTGACGTGTGTATTGGAAACACCTGATGAAGGCGTTAGTGTACGCCGTGGTACAACGCAGTGGTTGTCAATGTGTCTTCAATTATCGTGACCTGAGGCAGCTTCTGATTAGAATCGTCTGCAGTAATAAATCAGAGACACTAGTTCAAATCACATTCATATTGCATGTAGGTGGCAGCAGAGGAATTTCATAGCAAGTCAATCCAGCGTTCTTTCGCTTCCATAAGGTATGAGAGCAGAAGAGCGACAAAATTGTCCTTTTTAAGACCATGGCACCATGACGTCATGACACCAAGCACAGGGCCTTACCTGGGCTCATAACTTTGCTAATTCTACTTGAAGGACTGAAAATGGTTGGCGTGGTCCGATTTGTGGTGGTTACAGTTGTTTCAGGTCGGTGGTATGGTTCCAGTTTACTTCAGATCCCATGAACACCATTCTTCATCAGACCATCCTGGTTCTTCGATGATGGTATGTGGTGTGATCACGTGATGTGGGTCGGATCCCTTGATCTGCCTACCGCTTTAATGACCGGGTGACAACTTTGTTGCACTCTATCGTGAATATTTCACCCCCGCCGGGTCATTGTAGTGCCATGTCACGCATAGATAAGTGTATCTACGCAAGCACTTCCGATGGTCAAACCTGAGATCACACTATGCTGTAGTCTTCGTCACATTCTAGTCGACATTATATGATGAGCAGTGACTGTTATTCTTGGCATTTTTCACCAATTTTTGTAGTGTAGAATTTTTTTCTCTTGGAACGCTTTCCAGGCTCTCAATCTCTACGACTGAATTCTCTGTCCCTGGTTGCCTTTCACGTTATCGAAAGGATTCTTGGGTGCACATTGTCAGGAATTTTATCTTTCAAACATATGGCAGTCAATGCGGTTCACTTAAACGAAAAAAGCGATTTTCTACACAGAGACCAATACCAACACATATAACGTATGAAAAACAAATACGAGATGCAAAGTTATAATTAATTTAATATATAAAAACATGGAATGAGAGAAAAAGGAAACAGCAAACAAAGAATAAGAGAAAGGAATGAAAATGTAAAAATTATTATAAGAGAAATGTTTAACGGCCACTTATTTATCGTATGTTATCGACAATTGTGTCGATTATTATTTCTTTGTTTGCTTTTATACTCAGCTCATAAAAGAAAGATATTAAGATATTTCCCGTCATATGTAGAAGTGTTTCGGTCAATCAATGTGGTTTTGTTGGGTTTGCTTTGCATTTCATTCACGGAAGATACATAATCTTAGCTTTTGAATTCCCGATAATCCCTAAAGTTTTTGGAATATCAGTAGTCAATTTTACGTCGTAGCTAGCCCATGGAGAAAGGATGAACGTTTTTTGTTTTTTTTTGTTTTGTTTTTTACGTCTTCTGGATAGAACAGCCACAAACTTTTTCATTAGTTAGTATAATTATTTACCCGCTGCCCTACGCAGCAAGATGTGGCACAAGGCCGAGTTTAAAGTGGGGTATCCGAGCCCGTAGGCTCGGGCAAAAATTCCCTATAGACCACGTAAAAACGTAGTCAGTTTCCCGAGGCGATACTCTGCCGTTGAATGTTTATATAAAATTAAAATCGTCGAACGCTACATATGAAATTGACAATATGACCGTTGACTCAATTTGAAATCGGTCAAAGCCGTTTTTTTTAAAGAAATAGACTTTCAGAGAAATAGGATATAAATGAAAGATAAACTATTCAATTTAGGATGGCCATTTATATTTAATATCAATACTTCAAGTGATTGATTTAATTCATTGTAATTATTGTTAATATAAATAACGAGGGTCATGTCAAAACATGCATGGCCTATCTGTCTATGTTCGGAAAAACTCACAATAGTAAGGGAATTGTCTTTTCAGACACCGGATTGTTCTATGTACATCGGAATTTCACCATTAAATTCTTTGAATTTTTTGTTGCTTAATCTCTTAATCAATTAGTAGTTTTTACCTACTTTGTTTTTCTCGTAATTCTGACGCAATCTAATCTGTCTTTTACCTCTTTTCCGGAATCCAATCTGTCTCTTACCTGTTTTCCAGAATCTAATCTGTCTTTTACCTCTTTTCCGGGATCTAATCTGTCTCTTACCTCTTCTCCGGAATCTAATCTGTCTCTTACCTCTTTTCCGGAATCTAATCTGTCTCTTACCTCTTCTCCGGAATCTAATCTGTCTCTTACCTCTTTTCCGGAATCTAATCTGTCTCTTACCTCTTTTCCAGAATCTAATCTGTCTTTTACCTCTTTTCCGGAATCTAATCTGTCTCTCTCATCCTCTCCGGAATCTAATCTGTCTCTTACCTCTTTTCCGGAATCTAATCTGTCTCTTACCTGTTTTCCAGAATCTAATCTGTCTTTTACCTCTTTTCCGGAATCCAGTCTGTCTCTTACCTGTTTTCCAGAATCTAATCTGTCTTTTACCTCTTTTCCGGAATCTAATCTGTCTCTTACCTCTTCTCCGGAATCTAATCTGTCTCTTACCTCTTTTCCGAAATCTAATCTGTCTCTTACCTGTTTTCCAGAATCTAATCTGTCTTTTACCTCTTTTCCGGAATCTAATCTGTCTCTTACCTCTTCTCCGGAATCTAATCTGTCTTTTACCTCTTTTCCGATATCTAATCTGTCTTTTACCTCTTCTGCGGAATCTAATCTGTCTCTTACCTCTTTTCCGGAACCCAATCTCTCTTACCTCTTCTGCGGAATCTAATCTGTCTTTTACCTCTTTTCCAGAATCTAATCTGTCTTTTACCTCTTCTGCGGAATCTAATCTGTCTCTTACCTCTTTTCCGGAATCTAATCTGTCTCTTACCTGTTTTCCAGCATCTAATCTGTCTTTTACCTCTTTTCCGAAATCTAATCTGTCTCTTACCTCTTCTCCGGAATCTAATCTGTCTCTTACCTCTTTTCCGAAATCTAATCTGTCTCTTACTTGTTTTCCAGAATCGAATCTGTCTTTTACCTCTTTTCCGAAATCTAATCTGTCTCTTACCTCTTCTCCGGAATCTAATCTGTCTCTTACCTCTTCTCCGGAATCTAATCTGTCTTTTACCTCTTTTCCGAAATCTAATCTGTCTTTTACCTCTTCTGCGGAATCTAATCTGTCTCTTACCTCTTTTCCGGAACCCAATCTCTCTTACCTCTTCTGCGGAATCTAATCTGTCTTTTACCTCTTTTCCAGAATCTAATCTGTCTTTTACCTCTTCTGCGGAATCTAATCTGTCTTTTACCTCTTTTCCGGAATCTAATCTGTCTTTTGCCTCTTCTCCGGAATCTAATCTGTCTCTTACCTCTTTTCCGGAATCCAATCTGTCTCTTACCTCTTCTCCGGAATTTAATCTGTCTCTTACCTCTTTTCCGTAATCTAATCTGTCTCTTAACTCTTCAGCGGAATCTAATCTGTCTCTTACCTCTTCTCCGGAATCTTGTCGCACTTTGCAATTCTGTCCTCTTGTTAACTCGGATCACGAGTTGTCTGTAGATATATCTTTCTTTAGGAGGCGCATCAAACACTAGAAATTAATCCTAGATCCTTTCGAAAGAGAGGAATTGCCTATTGGACAACTCCCACTTAGAATCAAGCATATTGTACTGAGATTTAAGCCCGACAGAACTTTAGCTAGGCTAAAGTAAGTATATATACTATTGTATATATACTATTGACTATTCTTTTCTAATATATAATCCTTGCATGGAGTACTGCTGCCATATATGGTCTGGAGCCCCTACTGTTTGCCTCGGGGTTTTTGATAAGTTCCAGAGACGGATATGCAATTTAATTGCCCCTGATCTGGCATCTCGTCTGCAGTCGCTCTCTCACAGACGCGCCGTCGCCTCTCTCTGTCTTTTTTACAAATACTTTCATGGTAATTGCTCCGATGAGCTGCTTTCGCTGGTTCCCAGACTTCATGAGTTCAAGTGTCCTACGAGGCTGGCATCCCGCTCTCACCCTTTCGCTGTTGAAACTGTTAAATGTAGCTGTCTCTTCTACTCCAATAGCTTCATATCTCGCACCTCTCGCCTGTGGAACTCCCTTCCTTATCCCTGTTTCCCTGACAGCTATAATCTCCAACTATTCAAATATAATGTCAATCGACATCTCCAGTTGTCTTGATCTATCCACTATCCTTCTCCTCATCCTTTCCTCTATCATTCCTACCTGCTCTCGCTCCAAATCCTCTATAACCCCTTGCGTCCTAGTGGCTTCCCGCCTTGCTAGGGGTGAAATGCTTAAAAAAAATACTAAGTATATATACTATTGACTAACCTTTTCAAAAAATGCCAATCTTATTTCATGACCCTGACATATAATTAGGAGACTGTCGTGAAACTGAGATAGATTGTTTTTTTTCCAAAGATGCCATCAGTCAATTTTTAAATGCTAGTATATTAAATGAGGACATTCCAGACAAAGAGGTAAGTTTTATTAATTTGGAAGTTTGGATTAAGAAAATTTACTAATCCTCAATCTTTTCATTCAGACGTGTGCGATATTTAATTGAGATTATCAAAGATCTCTACGACTTAAATATTTACAACAATAATCCGAGATGTTGATAATCAAACATATATAGAGCTGAGCAAAACAATTGTACACATATTTAATAATATCTCTATGAAGAAGTACGCAACAAAAGTTCACATATTCTGCCATTTGGTGATTTCTGTTTACTTTGAACACTACAACTCCTCACTTAACGACTTACTTGTTTAACTAGCTCGCACTTACGACCAGCTATAAATTCTCCTAAAATAAAAACAATAAATTCAAATAATCAGTATTGTACGTTGTTCTAAGAAATTTTCGGGAAAAATTTCTCTTTCTTCAAAATGAATTACAATAAATAAAGTGGAAAATGAATAAAAAATTACTTCTACTGAATTTAGTCGATGTACACAATAATGAACTAACTTTCGAATTTGTTTATTACGTTTACTGTTCAATACACTTCTATGTACCGTATACCTTCAAGCGATCATGGCTTTCCACAATTTCCTGTCCTTTGTATCTCTTAATAAAATTTGCCTTTTTGTTATCTCTTCTAAACCCTGTTCTGCCATCCATTTACTGAAACTCGCTAGGTCGTTTACATGTTGCTTCATCAGTTCCTTTTGCCTTCAATGTGTCCTGTGAGTATCAAATTTACCAAGCCTTCTTCCCTCATTATTATATACTATATAAACATTTAGAAATAAATTAGAAATGCTACAAATGATACGAAAGTTGCATTAAATCTATTTGAAGATGATTGAGCCAAAATTCATATGGGTGTAGTATGACTTAAATAGCAGTCAGGTACAACTTCTCACTTAGTAACCAGCTTGTTTCGTCCAGTCGTTAAGTGAGGGGAGACTGTACTTTCTTGAAGCTGGAAAATCCAATTTTGTCAACATCTGGTTTGTCGTCGTCATTTTATCAATCAATACTTACAAAAATGGTTTTAGAAAAAGTAAGTTCCAGACGTTTCTTTATTGACATCAGTAGTTCTAATTTCGATTTTTTTTAAAGCATGTCAATCGGCGCATGCGTGCACACGACGGAAATACATCTCAGGAGAAAGTGTTAACCTGCATTGGGCATATAATTAATGCTATGACCAGAAGGCATTTCTCGCGTTGTCTGGCGTTTCCTAGCATTGGCATTTAATTGGATCTAATGACCACCGTTCAAGTATTACAATACAACTGGAAGTCATACATATGGCTTCGGACGAGACCGGAAAAAAAACTTCGCCGAGATCACACAGTCCAGCAATTGGCCCGAAAGGCAGCTAAGAAAGTCAAGTAACCAGAGAAGGAAGTATTACAAATGGCATTATATATATATATATATATATATGTATGTGTGTGTGTGTGTGTGTGTGTGTGTGTGTGTGTGTGTGTGTGTGTGTGTGTGTGAAAAGAGCGAGGGTGTGAGAGCAGTAACTCAGAAAAGGGGGCAATTCTTGTAACGTGTTTGAATTCTCAGATTGATGTTCAGTTTTCTTTTTCCTTTCTTTTTTTTTGTGAAAACCAAGCTCTGTCATAGCTCCATGGTGAAAGTCAGTGTCAAGAGGTCTCCAGACACTTGGCAATATCACGTAGTTGACAAGTCCAGCCGAGTAGAAGGAAAGGTTGACTCTATATAAGTGGTTTCTGTTCATGCAAATAAAGTTACGGATATCAACGTTTTCCTTTTTAATTCTTCGAAAAAAAAAATACGGTTCTGAAAAGATTTTTATATACAATAAAAAGGAAAAAAAAATAGCAGTTATCTTAATGCGTCATAACATAAAAGCGATTGATTTGTTTTTGATGTATACAATACTGAATAGAACAAAAATCCGTAGCGTTTTTAATTAGGAGGCATCTGAATATTGAATGGAACAAAAATTCGTAGCGTTTTTAATTAGGAGGCATCTGAGACTATTGAATGGAACAAAAATCCGTAGCGTTTTTAATTAGGAGGCATCTGAGACTATTGAATGGAACAACAATTCGTTGCGTTTTTAATTAGGAGGCATATGAGACAATATTGAATGGAACAAGAATTCGTAGCATTTTTAATTAGGAGGCATCTGAGACAATATTGAATGGAACAAGAATTCGTAGCGTTTTTAATTGAGGCATCTGAGACAATATTGAATGGAACAAAAATACGTAGCGCTTTTAATTAGGAGGCATCTGAGACTATTGAATGGAACAAAAATTCGTAGCGTTTTTAATTAGGAGGCATCTGAGACAATATTGAATGGAACAAAAATCCGTAGCGTTTTTAATTAGGAGGCATCTGAGAATATTGAATGGAACAAAAATTCGTAGCGTTTTTAATTAGGAGGCATCTGAGAATATTGAATGGAACAAAAATTCGTAGCGTTTTTAGGAGGTATCTGACAATATTGAATGGAACAAAAATTCGTAGCGTTTTTAATTAGGAGGCATCTTGTCACACGTGACTAAAATTAATGGCATATAGTAATTTTATAAGAATCGCTTAGATGCGGCACATGGCCGAAAATAAGGAGCACGTAGTAAGCATCGAAATCACTACTTAGTTATAAGCGGTCTCTTGAGACATGCTTGCTAACAATTATACCACGTCAAAAATCCTGTTCTATATGATTCACGTGGGGGACTGTGAATTTTAAATGTTTTATATTAAAAGAGAAAATGAAGAAAAATGAATTTTATTTTCATCATTTGGTGCGTTTCTACATCTTCAAAGAAAGAAGGAAAAAACACTGTACAAACAGAAAAAAACAATACATTTATGAACATTTAAATACGAGAATCTGACGATGGCTGCTACCTCACGAGTTATCAGAAAAGAATAGCCTCCATTTTTGATTCGCTGCTCAAACACAACAAGAAAGATCCATTTATTTATCATAATTATAATTGGCGAAGAATAATGAATTGTTTACAACAACGTGAAGCAAAAAAATCCCAGCAGAAAATTAAATCAGCTATAATTAATCAGTTCAAAACACGGTTTGCATCCCAAGAAGGATGCGTAGCTGGTGGAAGTGGAAGGGCATCATATATCAAGAGTTCATACACCAAAGTCAAGTGTTGAATTCAGAGAAGTACTTTTCCTATTTAGATCGATTAAAGGTAGAAATCGACGAAAAGTGTCCTGTATTGATCATCCGAAAAAGGTGTCGTCTTCTATCAGGACAACGGTAGACCTCACATCTCTTTGCAGAACTTAGTACACCTTGGCTGGGATGTCCTACTACAGCGGACGTACTAAAGTGTACTTGCACCATCGGATTACTATTTAATTCGATCCCTACAAAAATTCTCTCCATTATGGCAGCGAGAAAGGGATGCCAGATGAATAATAATAATAATTATTATGAGAATAATAATTGTTAGTGATATACGAAAATTATTGGAATCAAAACTACATGGAAATAATAATATCAGCGTCATGAATTCCAGAGCAATGTATCTGGGTAGAAAGGCAAGGAAGCTATTTAACATACATATATATGTGTGTGTGTAGTGGGGGAAACACACGCTCAAGTCGATGTAGACACAAGCCGGAGTCCATATTGACTCGCCAAATGTCAGAGAACAACTTATATAGATCTGGGCATTTCAAGGTCCAGAGGTGTCTCATTTTTTAATGATAAATTCAAACCTCATAAGACTCGAGAGTCACGCAAGGTAGAGT